TGGACAAGTCAATCAGCCTGATGATAGCTATATGTATTTTGAAATCAACATCGAAAGAAAGGAGGGATGCTGGAAAGGGCTAGAATGGGAGGAGAGGATTTATATCTAATAAATTTCCAGAGTTATGATCTTGAGAAGCAGAAAACAATGAAGAACTCAAATGCAATAACAGATCACAAAGTGTTGTTGCCTTTTACTCTTCTCATCACAATTTTAGTTTGCATTGGACCTTTGAGATTGTAATTTGTATGCTTTGTTTTAGGATGTATGTTCTTTGGGCAGAGACTGGTGCAGGGGCATGTCAATCAGTTTGATGATAGCTACATGTATTTTGAAATCAACATTGCAAGAAAGAAGGGATGCCGGAAAGAGCTAGAATGGGAGGATTTAGGTCTAATAAATTTCTGGAGTTCTGATCTTGAGGAGTAGAAAACAATGAAGAACTCAAATGTAATAGATCACAGAATATTGTTGCTTTTTTCTTTTCTCTTGAAAATTTTACTTTGCCTTGGACCTTTGAGACTGTAATTTGTATGTTTTATTTTGTGTGGTTGTCTTCTTTATATCATATCCTAAATTTGATTTGTTTGGCAAAATTTTTACTTGATGTTCTTAACAGACAATCTCTATGCCATTGATTAGATGAGGTAAGTGATTAGATAGAAAGTATTAAATGTTAAATATAAATTCTTATGATTAGGTAAGTGATAGTAAGCTAAGAAACATTCCATCTTCAAAACTATGAGCATAGACATTAAAGACGCAAGAAAAATCCGAGAAAATCATTTCGAAAAGAAAATACTAGTATTACTTTTCTTGTTAGAAGGTTGACCTTATTCTTCCACTACATTGAAAGCAATGCATCCATTAATGAGTCAATCTAACTTATTTTAGGACCAACCAATCACTGCTGCAGCTAATAAATAGTTCTAATGCTAATGGCTCTAAAAGTCTTAAGTCAATACATTACTGCAAAAGAATTAGTCTAAGTCAATATTATTAGTTGCATCTTCCTCCACTCAAAAATTCATCAAAACAATTACTCTCCTCAAGCCCATACTTCATTTCATTCTTCTTTCTTCGTCTATCAAATATTTTAATCACTAAACCAGTTAATAAAAATATAAATAATAGAATATTAATCAGTTATCTTTATCCATTACAAATTAAAATTTGAATCTAATTCTAACAGGATGTGAAATAAGTAGAGATGACCAAAAATTGAACCAAACTGTTTGTACCAGAAGAAGAGCAGAAAGAGGCCAAATTAGGTCGCATGTTGAGAGCATGGCTCTCATGCACCAGGTTGTGGGGTGGTTCAAGAAAGGGATCAAAAGGGCCGAGCCATCCTTCAAGGTTCACCCTGCAATGTTTAGAAAGCTGATCCATGATGATTCCACTGCATTATGCCCATGGTCTGAAATTTTGAGTCAATCACTTAGCAGGACTAGCTTAATGTAGATTGTTTTGTTTTTAAGTTGTTATGTAAGGGTATGGTAATGGTAATTTATATTAGCCTTTATAACTTGGTCTATTAAACCAACAGGACAGGAATATTTTTATGTCAAACAGATGACAGAATTTCTACCAAGGATAAATGGAGCTTTATGTCCAACCGGACAACCTATCTCTGATGCCAATCCGTGGTAGTTTTTTTCACTTATCTTAACAAAAAATTTCTTTGGCAGTTCAAATTGTTAGTCAGAAGGCTGTCCTTTTTCTGCCACTAGATTGAAAAGCAATGTGTATATTGGTCAACAAAGTCTAAAGATTGCCTGGTCAATATGTACATAGGCGCAAAAGCATTGCATCTTCCTTACTGGCAATCACTCAGAAATTCATCAAAACAATTAATCTCCTCAAACCCACAATTCATTTCATTCTTCTTTCTTCATCTATCAGATATTTTGATCATGGGAAATTTGTGGTCAGTCTCAATCTCAACGGAGGACACTGTCTCTCGATGCTGGGATTGCATTGCTGGACAAGCAAGTTACACATGTAAGCTTGAAGAAAATCTTGAAGCACTGAGGGTGGAATTGGATACTCTGAAAGCGCGAAAGGATGACGTGAATCAGAAGGTAGATCTGGCTGAACAAAAACGTATGACATGGCTCAGCGAAGTTAGTCTTTGGCTTTCAAGGGTGCAGACTGCAGAAGCAGGTGCTGAGCAACTGATCAAAGATGGTCCTCAAGAAATTCAGAAATTATGTTTTGCTGGCTGC